GGAAAAGGTATGGAAGATAAAGAAAAATGCATGGAAATGCTCTCTGGTAAATGCAATATGTCCAGGCACTCATACAACTGCTGATAGATGGCACAGGAACTTAATGAATCTTTTTATTCTGGTAAATCTAAATCCTCAACAATGGATGTGCCCAAGATATCTGTGTCTGAAATAATCCATCTATCAAAAGATTTTTGCAGCACAGTAATAATGTTGCGCAGTATTGTAATCACACCCAGAAGAGCAGAGATACTGACACCCATCATCTCTTTACTTCATTTGCTGTAAAAGACCTCCTCCCCAGAGTTCTTTTGCCTTTGTTTTTTTTATTTTTAATCTGAGCAGAAAATTAAAAAAAAAAACAAAACACAAAAACCAACAAAACAAAACGATTTTGAACAGTTTAGGCAAAAGCTTAAACCAAGGCTTTGAGCAGAGTTCATCCATTTTAGTCATCAACTTTCTCATGGATATATTTACCTTCTATAGCTCTATGAGTATTTAATTGTAAAAAAAAAAAAAAAAAAAAAGAACAGATTAAACAAGGGTCACCAAAACCAAAATCAATTCAGACCACTCAGCAGCATGGCAGGCATATTAGATTTCAGCAAAGGAGCATTCAAGAACCTGCTCCACATTAGGAAGAGACTAAATCTGAAAACTGGTCTCACCATATAGACATCTCTCTTGAAATGTCTCCTGCTTGGCCATTTTTGTGTGAGTCTGAAACAATTGGCCACATTGCTAGTCCAGACTGGCAGATGGGGATTCTGATTTGGGCGTCAGTGGAGCTTATGTATCTGATAGCAGGTTTGTGATATACACAGCAATGTACACTTCCAGGGGTTAAACATCAGGAGTACAGCAGATCTTTCTGTCAAAAAAAAAAAAAAAAAAAAAAACGAAAACAAATTTTTGTCCCCACTGGAAGGGACTGATAAGATTTCCATATTTAATTGTGGAAAAGAAAGTACTATAAAAAAATTATTTTTAAAAAAAAAAAAAAAAAAAAAACAAAACCATTCCAATAAGTATTAGTTGCCTTTTTAGTCACCCTCAGGACCAGGTAACAACTAAACACTGTTTTTGTGAGTCTAATTTTTCAGTAAAAAACAAGATGTTTCCAGATTGCTGTAATGGATCAGACTTTTTCATGGCTATTTTAGTCAATACAGTGCTGTGATGTTATGCCATCAAGCAGAAAATCACAAGGTGGATTAACTAAGGACACCTAACATCAACAGAAAAATGGCCTGGATTCGGATTCTTCAGTTTTAAATTAAATTCCAGCTTTTACAATTCAGCAGATTTGTTAAATATCCTTTATATGTATTACAGTCTTTCCTTGTCTTTCTTAATTGGTGGTGTCACTATTTCTTAGCCCAATTATCCCTATTTGAATACTCCACGTATTTTTTCTATTATGAAACTTGATGATGAAGTATCTTTCGTTCATAACCTTGTCTATTTACAATGACTGCTGGAACTTACTGTCATCAAATGCAGAAAGATTCAGTCAGCAGAAGATTCTTTTTTTAGGATTTTCTTAGTGCTATATTGTCTGTGTTTGTGCAGCATGTACCTGGTGACTATTATGATTTCTTCAAGTGGGTTTTTGATTGCAATTTTTGTTGTTGCTGTTACAACTATTCAGAAAACAGTTATTCAGTCCATCTATTTGCACTGTCTGCAAGTGCCTTTGATAAGGGAGGATACTTAGTTTTAGTTTCAGGAGATGTAATGGGACTTAACTGTTTGTTATAATAATTTTAAATTGTGCATGGCAGTTATATATCCAGTGGCAGAGGTTTAAATCAATCCAGAAAAACAAAAAAAAGGAGAAAAGGGCCTCTCCCATTCTGATTCAGAAAGGAGATCCAGCAATGTTTAATTATATTAATACGCAAATATTAGTGGATGTGTCAAAATATTATTTGTCAAAATCATAACACTTTTATGTGGCCACAAACCATACAGCCATAAATCAAACTCAAAGGGCACAGTCATGGAGTACAAAGGGTTTATTCATTTGCTGAAAAATTAATTGATAACCAACAAAAAAAAAATTAAATGAGGCCTATCTTTTTTTGCATTAGTATTTATTTTAATGAATCTGAAACTTGCATCATAAAACAATGTCTTCAATTTGACAAAGACCAAATATGATCAAGTACTTTCAGGAAAAGTATGATGAATACTCAAAATCAAAGACAGTAAGTGATATTTGATGTATATTCTCTTTGAAGCCCAGCAACTATCCAGTGCTGATGGAAAGGGGCAACTAGTGCAATTTCAAATTGATGTGAACCCCATAAATATCCTCACTCTTTTAAAATTCAGTTTCTTATGTGCAAGAATTACTGGGTTTAATAATACTGCTATTCTGCTGCTTTATAATGAAATAACACTTATGCCCATACACAGAATTAGAGATGCTTTACTAGGTGATAATGTTAAGCTATGCCTTGATGGTACAGAATCTGCATCTTGGCCTCCAGAGACCTAAAGAGGATGGAAACAAGATTTAGCAATACAAAGGTGATGTGAGTTAAAAAAAAACATCCAGATGTGATATAAAGACTCCAGCAAATGCTTCTAATACTTTTTTTTCTTCCTGTTTCTTTAAACTCTTCTGCATGCCCAGTCTGTAAGTATGGCTCACTATTCTGTACCCAAAATGACAAGTGATAAGTTATCCTGGTGCATAAACACTCAAAAAACTTGCATCTAGTCTGTGTATGCAGCTGCAGAATGGTGTTTTACCTCACAGTTTTGTTATAAAAAACGTTTAATGCCCAATACTTGAGCACAGAAATCCAATTCCAGTATTGCAAAAAAAAAAAAAAAAAAAAAAAAAAAAAAAAAAAAAAAAAAAAAAAAAAAAAAAAAAAAAAAAAAAAAAAAAAAAAAAAAAAGTTATATAGATCAACCAATATGGAGCATAAGCACTTCAGAATACCATAGTGTATAAGAGCACCTATAGCATCCAGCACTTAGTTCCAAAGTCTTTAGGGAAATCATAACTAAAACTGAGAAAGAGAGAGCACAAGAAGCAGCAGTGTGTTACTTGCATGGCATTGTTTCTCTTGGGCTCATGAAATTTGGAAGCATTTATAGAGCTGGTCTAAAGCCAGCTGGATTCTGATGAATTTTAACCTCAGCCTCTCAGTTTCTGAAAATGAAAATATAGAAAACTTTTGGAAGCTGATACAGCAGTCCTGTGAAGACTGGAAGTTGGTCAATTCAGCCGTTAGCTCAATATAACAAATTATACTAAGTAAATGAAATGTCAACCCCATCAGCTTGCAAAACAATTTCAGTCTAGAAGACTTCAATACAACAAAAAGTATGTATCTGATGCCTATTCTTGCTTGGCACAGAATGAGCGGTTACAAACTTTTAAATTCTACTTTGTGAAGAGAAGTCTCATGTGGCTGTATTGAATCCACAATAAAATTCCTGTCCTGATACCTCCAGGCATATTCACATGTTCAGGACTTTTGCGGAGCTCACAGCTTTTACTCTTTCCTGTGTCTCAGCAGGAGCAGGCCGGCTTAGCATCCTCTTGCCTGCTGCCAAGGATGGAGGCGGTCGGGGACGGGGCCCCCCTCGACTTGGCGATAGCTTTTGCAGGACCGCGGCCAGCTTTTCTTGAGGCTGCGGAGCCCTGGCTGCCCGCCGGATTCCAGGTATCGCCCCCGGGTGCCGATGGCGGTGCCGGGCGAGGGTGCGGGGGCCGGGGCCAGGGGCGGGCGCGGTGCCCGGAGCGCGGCCGTCCCGCCCCGCGGGATGCCGGGGAGGGGTGTCCACCGCACGTCACGGCCGCCCGCGATAAATGCCCGGCGGGGCGGGAGCCGCGGGGAGAAGCGTGGAGCGACTCGGGGCGGTGGTGGCGACCCGGAGGCGGGCGGGGGAGGCTGCGGCGGCGGCTCCGCTGCTGGACACGACCGCGCCGCTCCCAGCGCTGCTCCGCCGCAGCCGGCGGGGCGAGGCCGTGCCCGCGGCCCCCGGCCCGGCGCGGGCGTGGCGAGAGGAGGCGGGCGGCGGAGCGAAGCTGGCTGCGGGGAGAGCGGGCAGCCGCCGCCGGAGGGGTAAGGGCAGTGGCGGGGGCAGCGTCCTCCCCGCAGCATCCTCCCCGCGGCCGCGGGAGGACGGGCGGCGGCGGCAGGCCCGGCGGTCGGGTCGGCTGCGCTCGGAGCGCGGGGCCGGGCGGGGCGGCGGCGCTGGGGAGCGCTCGGCTCGCTCTGCCCTGCGCCTCTTTGTGTTTCCCTCCACGGGCTGGGTCCGGCGTGGCGGGATTCGCGCACTCACCCAGGCTGAGGAGCGACCTCGGCTGTCCTGCCTAAAGCGCTCAGTCGTGTAGGAGCCGTTGTTGGAATATCGCATTCTTGGAAGCGGTGCTACTCTTTCTGAGAGTTTTCAGTGCTTTCCTTTGCTTAGTGACTAGAAAAACACCGTCTCCCCTGTTTTCGTGTCCGTTGAACACATTTAGCTTCATTAGGGTTTTGGAAATCGTGGAAGTCGTAAAACAAAAGCTGTAATCAAGGTCATATTTTGAAATTCACTAAGAGGGCATACTTTGTATCAAGTTAATTGTGGATTTCAGTTTACACTTTGGCAATGACTGGAATCCTTTAACCTTCTTTTGTTAAGTTTCAATACTGGAAGACCTTATCTACAGTCTAATCTTCATTGATGTCTGGCTCCTTTTAAGTAGATATGAAAAGCATGCTTTTTGCATGCAGGCATTGAAATGTGCTTGTCAATGTAATATATAAAACCACTTGAACAAACTGAAGTCATAAGGCTGAAGATAAGCTATCTTCCCAAATCAACAGTGTGCACTTTTAGAGTAAAAAACGCAGCATCCTGCTTTCTCCCCCTAGAACAACAGTTACAAAATCTGTGTGAACTAGAGATTTAGTTGCTTAGTAAGTCCATACAGGCCAGTCCTTCAGTTTACAAATTACATTACTCTCTCTTATGCATTTACAGCCAGCAAACCTGGAAGAAAGACTTTGTCTTGGAGTTAACTCCTGAGCATTTTGAGATCATTCATCATGAAGTATGTAGTACAGGAATGGCTCAGAGTAACTACCTTGCTATTCATAGCTCAAGCAGTTTCTGCAATGGTTCTTCCCAATGCCACGCTCTTAGAGGAACTTTTGGAAAAGTACATGGATGAAGATGGTGAGTGGTGGATCGCCAAGCAGAGAGGGAAAAGGGCTATCACAGACAGTGATATGCAAAGTATCTTGGATCTTCATAATAAATTACGGGGTCAGGTGTATCCACCAGCTTCCAATATGGAATATATGGTAAGGAAAAACGGATAGTGACATGCAGAAAAAAATGTTCTTAGAATAGTTGCTATCACTTTATAAAACAGCATACTTTCAGTCTTAGTTTGCTTGTTTTCTTATTTAAAACTTGTGACTTGTCTTTTTTTTTTTTTTTTTTTTTTTTTTTTTTTTTTTTTTTTTTTTTTTTTTTTTTTTTTTTTTTTTTTTTTTTTTTTTTTTTTTTTTTTTTTGTACAGGTATGAACTGTGAGATAAAAATGCCTGTTTGTGGATCAAGTGTCATGCTCTACTTACATTAATGTGTTTAATCTTGTATAGCTCTCCTAAATTTAAATGACTTCTTCAGTTAGGGGCCAGTTTCCAAAATTACAGTACTCAATAAAGGTGATTGTAATTGTAATTGGCCTAAAAAGTTACCATCTGAGAAGAGTACTGAACTATGAAATTTCAAGATAGCATGTATGTTTTCTTTCCCATGCTTCTAGGATGGAATTTCTGAGCAAAATGAAGGTCTTACAAGAAGAAAGTCTTCTATTTAAGTTGGCACATGTTACTGGAGTGCTGTATACTTCTGTGTTCAAATTAATAATGTAATTTCTGATTATTATTTTTCTTTAAGAAGCCTCTATATTTAGATTATTATTTGTGGCATTAAGTCACATGTTTCTGAACTTTGTTTTTATGCCATAGTTCAAGGCTAATTCTATCTGTTCTTGCTAAGTAGATGAAATCAGGACATTAGAGCTTTTAAGAAGTCTAGAGGTTTGACAAAAATGGGCAACTTTTCTTTTTTCTGCACTTTTTTCCTCTGTCCACATGGTATATTGTTGGCTTATCTTTCTCTGGTTCATGCACCAGAGAAAGAGTTTTGGTATAGGTTGAGTTGTATCAAATATTGTACAGGTTTCTTGACACTTTCCATGACAGAGGTTTATATTAACACACTTCCAGATCAAAATATCTTTCCTAGACTGGAGTGATGTCTTTCAGGTTGGACATCTGTTTGAACAAAGCATATATGGGTCCTGGAGAAACCATGCTTGCTTAAACCATCAGTACAACCATAGGATGATTTGGGTTGGAGGGGACTTTTAAAGGTTCTCTAGTCTATCCCTCATTAAAGGCAGTTTAACTTAAGCTTACCTATGTGAGTGTTACTGTATTAGACTAAGAGCCATCAGAGAATTAGTTCATGGAATCACAGGAGGTATTGCCACATATCATCTCAGAAAAATGATAATACCTGAAACCCCTTTAACCTGCTCAGTTAAAATTGTCTCCACATATTCATGAATTTTGTTTCCTGTTGTGACTTCTTCACACTTTGCTACAACAGAGGTTAACATTTTGTTCCCAGTCACTCAGGCTGACTTTTTTCTGGAAAGCTCAAGAACAAGCTATTAAGCTTTTTTGTAAAATAATAATTGGGACAACTGTTGCTTTCCCTTGTTAAAATACTGCAAGACTTTTTCTTGAGATTCTGTGAAAATGTAGGTGATTTGTAGTTATGCACCTTTTTCCATTCGTAATGCCATACTGCATTTGCCTGTGTTATATATCTTGGAAAGAAGAATTTGGATATCCTCACAGAAGTAAGGTTTTTGACAGCTTTATTCAAAGATTCCTCCAGCACTGCACACACTTGGGCTTCGACTGTGTGTTAGGTCTACATCTGGAACAAGTTTTTTTGGTTTTGTTGTTTTTTCTGTGCTTTCCAATGATGCCTGAGCCAGAGAGTACAAGTAGCATGGAAAAGCAATTACCCAATTTTAACATCAAGGATGTTACTCAGAACAAGGCAGCAGCTTTCAAGAGGGTGGGACTCAATTTTGGTGTAATATCCAAAAGAATGAGGGATTAGGATAGGCAAAGGTTTGAGATCTGTGAAGGCAAAGAGTCTGTGTAAAGTGTGTGGGCAGAGAGATAGATGCTGTGGAGGGACAGGGACCCATGAGAAGGGTGTGGAGAGGGCCTGAGTGGTCCAGAAGGTGTTGAGAAATCATTGTGGAGAGAAAGAGCATTTGAGAAATAGAGATGGTTAAGCTAAGACCTGTGACTGTGATTTGGATCAGAAGCTTATGGAAGGAGGTTAAGAACACAAACCTTTGCCAAGAGGCTATTTGAAAAGTCTAAACCTATTAGTAAGTGGGGAGGAAGAGTGTATTTAGAGGAAGCAGGTGAGAGTTGGTATTGGGAATGGAGAGAGGAGGGTTTAGAAGACAGTGGGAACCACATGCTGCTTGAACAGAACAAGGAAAGGACAGAACTGCTGATTGTTTGCACCTTTATTTTTATGGTACTCAGAGATTTTCCTTTCAGTGCTTAGAAATATAATTATTAGTGCTCCAGAAAAGGGAAACCATCCATGTAAATGCTTGCCTGATGTTTAGTGAGATAGATGAGTGCAGCTGAAATACTTTTGTATACATTTGATTTATTAATATAGACAAACAGGATTTATTAATACAGGCAAACATATCTCCTGCTATTGGCACAGTCATGTCCCTGAAAACTGCCCTTTGTATCAGTATATCCTTGTGAATAGAGCTAGTTCTGCTTGGGGGAGAGAAGTTTTATGTCTCACTGAACCTGAATGGAGATTAGCAAGGTTCAGGTGCCTCCCTGATAAACCTGTATCTCTATAAATCTGTGATATAGTTGACAAGTTTATGACATCTAAGAGTGCTTGGAGCTGGGAGAAGTATGTGGGGGCTGCATGCTTTCACTGCACTGTTGGGTTACCTAAGATGTTCCAGCTTAAAAGGCAGCTCTGGCTGAAGTGCCTCTGTCCTGCTCCTGCCAATGGAACACTCCTGAGTTGATGATGAGACTGATTCAAGTACTTAAAGAATCAGATTTTATTTAAAAAAAATGTAATTTAATTTTTTTTTCATTCTGAGTCATGACACTACCTCCCTGTGTGGCAGAATCAGATGAGTACTGGTGCTGATAAAAGAACATTGGAATACATAACAAAGGAATGGGTGGGATGGAGAACCACATGGGGTAGGAGCTATTGGTTTTGTTATTCACTTAAAGTCCAGCCTTACCTTTGAGAGAAGGTCTGCAGCATAAGATCTTGGTTCTATTAAAAACAAACAAAAATCCCAGAAAAACAAACAAACAAAACCAAAACAAACAAACAAACAAAACCAAACCCAAAAACCCCAAGGAAAATGAAAAAGTTGCATTACTGAGCTGTACACTCTTTCCATGTGCTTTGAAAAAGCAAACATTACTGGGCTGTCATAGTTCAGAGACCTAAAGTTACAGTGCAGTAAGATTCAGTAGCAAGGTCTAATGAACAAAGTGTTCTCATGGCTCTCTGGCTGAACTTACTGGATGAAAAGTTCATCTTCCCAAGTACTGAGTCTCTGGTGGTGAGCAGTAATGGATTCCTAAGATAGGAGGATAAGAATAAAGCATGTGAAAAGAGAAACTTCTGCAATGAAGCACTCCAGCTTCCAGCAAACAGCAGCTGAGGGACTTCCTCAATCTGCTGTTGTACTTTTTGCATCAGATGGAATATTGTCACATGGAATTTTCTTTATGAATCTGAAAGCTTCTGAGTCCACTTGTATTGTTTGAATCTATGGCATCAATTTGCAGAGCTCTATAAATTTAATTATGCAGTGGGTGAAAAAGTATATTTGTTTTCCTTTAAACTTGGCCTTCTCTTTGATTCCTTGTTTTTCTTTATTGTGAGAAATAATTATTTCCTCAGTGATTACAAGGCTTTGAGCTGAACAATTCTAATTCCTTTACTTGAAAACTGTTTTGTCTGAAAAGCTGTTCCATTTTGCTATGGTTCTTCTATTTTCCTTTTAATGTAAAGGGGACAAACCAAACTGTGGATAGTTATGGCATATTGCAAATTGTTATAGTTGTATTTATTTTCTTCTCTCCCTAATAATTTCTAACATTCTTTTACTTTTTGACCTAGTGTCCTGCAGCTGACATGTTTCATAGAGTTATTCACAATGACTTCAAGATCTTTCTAATGTGCTATGAGGTCATTTACTACACTACTGTGTATATATATTTGGCTTTTATGTCCAGCAATGTTCCTATTACTTTGTATTCATTCACTTTGAATGCTATAAATAATTTTGTCTTCCAATCACTTAGCATTAAGGAGTGTCCTGTCTTTATATTTTATTTTTTCCTATCTTGTTTTTACCTATCTTAAATAGTGAATACTCTATTACATTCTCTTTTCTTGGGCTATTGTGGAGAAAATGTGCTTCAGAGACCATGGACACATCTTGTGAGGAAACCGAAAAATGATTTTGTATTCTTAAATCCCTTTGCTGTCATTTATCACTTCTTCCTTTATGTTATGATAGCTTAGTTTTATTTGTTTGTCAATTTTTAACTAACTTAGGAACTCTGTGGAAAACTTAACTGTGCTTAACCCTTTTGTTGACACCTTCAAGGTGCAATATATGTGCGAGTAATTGTCTATATATTTCGTATTTTTTTAACTTATTCTATAAAATCAGCCCAGTGGAAATTGGATTTTAGTCTGTGGTTTCTCAGGATCTTCTAGAAGCTTTTAAAAACATTATCAACCGTGTGCTGGTTTTTGTTAATGTGATAACAAGAGAGATCGTGTACTACACAGCAATTAGAAGTATAATGAGCAAGTTCTTCCAGGTTTTTGAAGGATATTGTTTGGTCCTGGCAATTTGATGCTGTCAGTATTTTCAGTTGAGGATTTTGTTTCTTAAGGCTGATTTGTATCCTCCACCTCACCTTCTCTTTCTTTTTCTGTATGGAAGAATTGTGGTGTGAGAATATCCATAAGCTCCTCTGTAGGGAACAGTATTGCAAAAATTTGTTAAACTCCTCTGCAGTGGCCTTATATGACCTTATGACTGCATGTTAGATCATTCTTTCCTAGACCTCCTCCTTCAAAGCTGAGAGAGTTTTTGGGTTGTTGACATTATGATTTAAATAGAAAAAAAAATTCTTTTTTTGATGTTATGATGAACAGTGTGTTATAAAGATGCATGG